AAGACCATGGTTCTTAGTGTCCAGCTGAGTTCTGAATGGAAGTTCCCAGCCTCGTCTCTAGAAGGTGTTGTGCAGGTTTCCTGTGAGGACGAGGACTGGGAGATCGATACCGAGTGATCCCTTTGAGAAAAGTGTTCACCCACAGGTTACGGGGTGTTTTTGTCTTATTTTTCTTTGTGAGTTCATTTGAGAGCGTAGTGATTGTCGGGTTTCACCCACATAGTTGTCATTGGGGCATTGAGAGCAGTGGATGAGGTACACCACACGTTGCGATAGGCTTGTGTAGGACCCATGGATTCTGAAAGGTGCATTGTGGGGGGTGTTGATCATTGTATCAGCAGAGATGTGTCTGCAGGTTTTGCATCTGTTGTTCTGGCAGGGTCTGGTGCCACTTTGAGTTGGCGTCTCCTGGTCTGTGTGGAGCTTGCTTCTGATGATGAGCCAGGTGAGGCTGGAGGTTGTTTGAAGGCCAGAAAAGGGGATTCAGGAAAGACTTCTTTAAGGCTGTGGTCCCCATCAAGTCTGAGTTGTAATTATTTGATGATACCCCAAAGAAAGGCTTAGGCAGTCTTAAGACAAAAACACCCCGTCACCTGTGGGTGAACACTTTTCTCAAAGGGATCACTCGGTATCGATCTCCCAGTCCTCATCCTCACGGGAAACCTGCACAACACCTTCTAGAGACGAGGCTGGGAACTTCCATTCAGAATTCGGCTGGACGCTAAAAACCATGGTCTTAACAGAGACACTGGTGTTATGGCTCATTCAACCATTTTAACACACCCCTCTGCCCGCTAACCCTTAATTGGCCAACAGCATTTGTGAACGTCTTATGCTTAACAATCTGTCCCACCTTGTGGTTAGCTTGGACATGCTGGTTGCCTTCTCCAGACCTGAGGAAGAGCTCTGTGAAGCTCGAAAGCTTGTCCCTTTCTCCAACAGAAGTTAGTCCCATAAGAGATACCTGGGACCAACGCGGCTGCAAATGGCAGTGTTTGAAAGGCCCAGTGAATGGCTGTACTTGCTGCTTGCTGCCTGGGAATCAGACTCTAGCTGTCTCTGCAGCTGAGATGCAACCCAGCACGTGCTATTGAGACGCCACTTGGAGACACGTCGTATCCCACTTCACCAGGGATGTATCAATGAAACAAAACTGGGATCATTTGAACCCAGTCCTTTCTCTCCTCCCCGGCCCCTCCTCTGCCTCTCATGCCTTTCCGTTTGTTTCCTCCGTCTCCCTCACCGCCCCTGGCCCGTTCTCTCTCGCAGGTGAATAACACGAACCTGCAGGACGTGCGGCATGAGGAGGCGGTGGCCTCTCTGAAGAACACCTCCGACATGGTGTACCTGAAAGTGGCCAAGCCTGGCAACGTCCACCTCAACGACATGTACGCGCCCCCCGACTATGCCAGCAGTACGTACACCAGCCTGCCAGCCTCAGCCCGGCTCCCAGGGGAGCACAGCTGTGCCACAGCGCCAGCGGCGGGAGGGGAAGGCCACAAGAACCCTCGGGGAAGGATGTAGGGGTTGAACAGCAGGGCCAAAGGGAGAAGGGCATGTGAGAGTGTGAAAGGGGATGGGAGGGTCTTGGGGCGTGGGGAGCCCCACAGAGTGTGGGGCACTGTAGGGAAATGTGCGTTCTCTTGCTCCCTAGTTGTATACCAGAGCAGCCGGGCCCAGGACTTCTGCTCCTGATTTTGTCTTTTCCTTCTCTGCAGCCTTCTCAGCCTTGGCCGATAACCACATAAGCCATAACACCAGTCTGGGTTACCTCGGCAGTGTTGAGAACAAACCCACTTACCCAGCCCCCCCACAGGCGACCCCATCTAGGTACTCGCCCATCCCTCGACATATGATTGGAGAGGAAGACTTCACCAGGTGAGCAAGGGCCTGAGGGTAGAGACAGCTCCGGGAGCTCTCCCCCTCCCTCCCTCTCTTCTTTTCCAAGGGATCTGTGGGTGGAGTGACAATATTTATTGACCCAGTGAATCCGTCCCCAGGCCTAGGGCCACAGGTGCTGAGCTTCCTTGCAGCAGGTGCCAGCACAAAACCCCTATTTGTCAGTGGGTTTAGCATTCTTTAAAAGTCCCTGGGGCAGATTCTGCTCCCTCAGGCCTGTGGAAATCCGGAGGGATAAGCGCCAAGCTAGAGAGATCGCTTCAGTGGCTCTGACCCCATTCCCCATGTCCCTCCCATTCCCCTTTGCCCCCTCTGTTCCTCTTTGAACTCTTTTGAGACTTAAGTGCTCCTACGTTTCTGATTCTTTGGTTTTCATTTCCTTTGCTCATTAAAATCCTGTAAATGCAAATCACATTTATGGTAAATCCCACACGGGCAATTCAGGCCGTTCCCCCGCTCAGAGCCCAGGGACGCTCCCCACCAGTGCACTGAAACCTGGAGATGATGCTGAGGTCCTTCGGGATGATAGTGGTGTAAAAATGTTGGCAGCCCAAGTACATCTCTTCATCCTGGGCCACGCATGCGTCTCTGCTTTGAGAGTCCTGGGTCTTCAGAGGGCTCCGCTGCCATCTGTTCATTTCAAACTGTTCATGCACCAGGGATTCTGCCAGTGCTGTAAGCTCTCCTGCTTCCTGCCTGTCACTGGGAGGTTCCTCGCTCTCATTAACATCCCACACAGAGCAATTCAACTGGGTTCCAAGTGGTGCCAGCGCTTGCCTCTCTCTCAGTGGAGCAAGGAGCAGAAATGGGTCTTGGGTGAGTTTGAAGTAGGAGGCAAAGCTCTTTGAGGCAGAGAAAGACAAAGGGCTTTAGTCACTGTTACTGTGATTTGCTCTCTGTCTTCAGCATACAGCTGGGGTTGGTTCAGGGTTAGAACTGACTTTAGTGTTTGGTAACAGCAGGGCTACAATTGGCTTTAGATTCGGGGTGACGGCAGGGTTAGGACCGGCTCGGGGTGAGGGTCGGGGTGATGGTGGGGTTAGGACCGGCTCGGGGTGGGGGTTGGGGTGAGGGCAGGGTTAGGACCGGCTCGGGGCGAGGGTGGGGTGACGGCAGGGTTAGGACCGGCTCGGGGTGGGGATGGGGGTGATGGCGGGGTTAGGACCAACTCGGGGTGGGGTGAGGGCAGGGTTAGGAGCGGCTTGGGGTGGGGGTCGGGGCGAGGGCGGGATTAGGACAGGCTCGGGGTGGGGGTTGGGGCGACGGCGGGGTTAGGAGCGGCTCGGGATGAGGATGGGGCGACGGCGGGCTTAGGAGCGGCTCGGGGTGGGGGTCGGGGCGAGGGCAGGGTTAGGACCGGCTCGGGGTGGGGGCGACGGCGGGGTTAGGAGTGGCTCGGGGTTGGGGCGACGGCGGGGTTAGGACCGGCTCGGGGTGGGGGTCGGGGTGACGGCGGGGTTAGGACCGGCTCGGGGTAGGGGTTGCCCAGGCTTGGAGCACGTTATTGGGTCCCAAATATAAATAATAAAGGACTGTAAATTGTCCTCACGTGTCCGCTTTGTCTCACAACCTGACGCTGTTGCACTGTGGCAGCGGCATCACATGATGACGTGCTGGTCTCACAGCATCAGTGGATGGAGCGCTCCGTGTGGTGTGAAAGGCGATGCAAGGGCACACTGGGGTTGGACTGATGTGCAAGGTGAGGGTTGTGTTTCCTTGGCAATGGGAGATGCGCACACGCGGTGTGGATACAGATTAGCTGTTTCAGCAGGGAATGGCGGAGCTCCTATGCGTAGTATCAGCGATTTCCATTGCATTCGCTCCTGAGACCCCCCAGCGCTTGGGGCCCCCTTTGCAGCCCTGTGCTGTTGCTGGGCCCCGTCACTCGGGTCCTGGTGGCTGGGCTCTGTCCCTGCTTTAATTTCTCTCCCTGAACAGGAGCTCCTGCATGTCCAGGGCAGTGTGGAGTTCAAATGAAGTCAAGCAGTTAAGTGCCTCCACCTTGCCCTGAACATGCACGTGTGTCCCCGTACCCAAGGTCTGCAGCATCCCGGCTCCAGCTCCCCTGGGAGCCGTAACACTGGGGGCTATGACTGGAGGCTGTAGTGTATCATTCATGTTGGGCCCATTACTGACGGGCCTTTCTGTGTCAGACGCGCATTCATGGGGACAGACGTGGGTAAAACAGCCCCTCCCCTCCCCTCCCTCTAGACCCTTAAGCATAGACTAGGCGTAAAGAAGCAATGACTGGGCTGTTGTTTGTGGTGCAGTGCCAGGAACTGCCCACTAGAGGATGCTGCTGCACGCTGCAAAAGACACTGCCCGGGGCCATCAAGGCACAGACCCAGGGAGGCTGGCAGGAGCTGGTGCCGGCTGCTGCTGGATTCTCCAGGCTTTGATTTGTTGTGTGGTGGGCTCTGCCTAAGCGCGCGGCCTTCCTCGGCTACGCCAGCTTCACTCTGCATCTCAGTGAGGTGCCTCCAGCCCTTGCGTTCTCCGCAGCCAGCCCTGCGCTCACTGCCCATGGCAGACAGTGCCCATGTCGTGCCTCTGCTCTGCCTCACTGTGCAAGCGGCTTCCCTCCCGCCCACCCCTCGCCCACTCGGCCGGGAAGGACGATAGCAGTAATGGAAACCTATGAACTCGTTAGGCCGGGGGGCGGGGGAATTGTTCGCTGGAGAAGTTCTATCTGGGTAGACACCAAATAGCAACTCATCCTCATGTACCATGTGCAGCAAAACCACCTTGACGCACTCAGGGCCCTGAGCAGGAGCCAGCACAGTCTCCACGTGCGTTTTACTGCTGCGTGACCAGCAGTCACCTCTAGCCCGGAGGGCAGCTAGGGGTCTTTCTTTCTGATGTCACAAGAGCTCTGGTAGCCGGCTGGTCCGCTGAGTCAGCACTGAGCCCTATCCCTGCCTGGGGCGGCACTGCGGGGAGTGGTGTTGATTCAGGAAGAGCCATTGTTCCTACAGTTAGCATGGACCCCAGTGCCCACCATGCTGCTAGAGGGTGCTGTACTGCTGAAGGTAGTTGGGGGGTTTTGGTGGGTTTTTGGCGGGTGGGGTGGGGTAAGGCATAAAATCAAAGTCCTGGCCTTTCTGTAGTCATTAAAGACCCCACTGCATTTTGTTTGATACGAGGGTTGGGGCGTTAATGCTGCAATGTGCTACTCACTAACTGCATCCTACTCCCATATGAGCGTAAGAGAAGCGAAGGGTGTGAATCATCACTGAGATCTGTTGGGTGGGATAAGAGACTTAGTTCTTTGGGCTTTATCCTGTTCTTCCTATCTATCTCTCCAGGTTCTTATAGTGTGCCCTTTGATGGGATCTTGTTGTTCTGTCTTTCTCTGAATCATCTGGGGCTGGTCACTGTTGGAGACAGGATACTGGACTGATTGGAGCACTGGGCTGATGCAGAATGCCTGTGCCTGTTCTCTTGTGTTTTCCTTCTGTTTCGCATTGGAGACAACAAAAGGAGAGCTGTACGAAGCCCAGGAGATCACCTTTGTATAGGCACAGCTTTCAGACCCAGCGTTGCGCTCTTTCTGTTCTCTTTGCAAAGCCAGAGAGCCAAGGACTTTTCACTGTGGACAGAACTCACTGGTTGGGCTCAGTGGTGGATCAAACCTCCAGGCCATCAGTGCTGCCCTGCTATAGCAGTGGCCGTTGTGATTCCAGGAGGTCAAGCTGTGGGTAGATGTGAGAGCGCTGGGGACCCCAAAGGAGTAGTGTGGAGAGGCCTTGCCAAGGCTCAAGGAAGCAGAGCAGGTCTCTGATATAACTGTAAGGCCCTGGATGGTTTTCCTCGCTGATGTTGGTGAACAAGAAACAAGATCAGACTGTAGTGACATTGCAGCTTTCTTCAACAACAGCAGCAGCTGTAGCACAGACTCCTTAGCAAACCTGCCTCAGATAACCGGATAAACTCCAGTCCCCCATGCTGCCCGCCACGTGACGTTTCCATAGGACTTGGCTGAGATCACTCTGTGGCCGTGCCTTTGTGGGGACGAAGCGTTTACATTAGGCAGCTGCCATCCATTACTCCAAGCAGACACTTCAGATGTGGCTTCCAAAGCCAAGAGGGAAAGGGAGCAACTGAGAGGAAATGCACCCAGACCCGCATCCACGGAGTGGCTCAAACACCGCTAGGGAAGCAGGGTTAAAGGTGCTGCCCTGATCTGGCCAGTCAGTGGGGATGGGGCCACACCATGTCAGAACTCTGCTAGCCTCATCTAGTTGAGTCCTGTCTAGTCTGAGGTGTGATTAAACACTGGCTGCCCAGACCATGTTAGAAACCTTTTTGGGTGGACCTGCTAAACCAGATTAAAACCTGGTTCCTTTCCTTGAGTCCTAGCCTGATATAGACAGTCCAGAGACAGAGGACACATGAGTCCAGCCATGCAGGGCTAGCACAAGGCAGGGTATTTGGGGCCAATCCTGATTTGAACAAAAGGGGCCATGATTTTGGTGCTGTCTCATTCCAGCCCCACGTGGGTGAGTCACTCCGTGCAGAAGAGGCCATGGCTGTGCCAAGAGCTGAGACGCTAACAACCAAGTGTTGCTAACAACCCAGAAGTTGTGCAGTAGCAAGAGACACTCCATGGTCTGCAGCCTCCCCAGTCCCCTGAGCCCAGGGCAAGTGGGGCCGGACTTGGAATTTCACATCATCGGCCTGCCATAGGCTCACCATCCAACCACCTTGTGGCATGCCCGGCATTCCAGCAGCTCTTCCTCAGGATTTCAGTGGCCTGGCATGGTGAAGACTTGGCCTCTGGCCAGGCCCCAGGATAGTTCCACCCCTTCTGGGGTATCAATGTCCCAAACAAATAATGTCCAACAAAATAAGAGTAATCAACAGAACATCTTCCGGTACATCTGGACTCCTCTTCTGTCTCCCTCTTTTTCCAGAGGAGCAGCTCCCAGGGCTTCTCCCTGGAGTCCCTTGGCAAACCCCCAACACCAGACAAAACACGT